ATAGTGGAAACTTATGTTGTCAAGACTTCGAGTCTTTTGTCAGCAGGTTGTCAAGGCCAACATATTCTCTTGTATATAGCCCTAATTATTGTATCACACACGTGGGGAGAACGCTAAAAAATGCGTAGTCAGCAAGTTTTGTTCAATTTCGCCCGAACAGGTCCGCGTGACGTCATTACATAAAATTATGACGTATGTTAATGAGTGACGTCACTACGCACCCTCATTTGTGCGGCCCCTCTTAATTACCTGCATATATAATGATGCGCCGCCCCCTTGCATAGTAATTACCTGCATATATAATGTGCGGCCCCCTTAATTACCTGCATATATAATGATGCGGCCCCCTTGCATAGTAATTACAAGCATATATAATGATGCGGCCCCCTTGCGGCCCCCTACGGCCTCCTGAAAATCCGGATCGATCGGTACCTATATTACTACTCCATACTGTAAAACAGTTTCGACTGGCTGCCAAAAGACTCTAGGTCTTGACAACCTGCTGACTAAAGACTCAAAGTCTTGACAACATAAGTATCCACTATTCACAGTATACTAGTTTAATTTATCATTTAATTAAATGTTTAATTATACTATCCATACTGTAAAACAGTTTCCACTGGCTGCCGAAAGACTCTAGGTCTTGAGAACCTGCTGACTAAAGACTCAAAGTCTTGACAACATAAGTTTCCACTATTCACAGCATTCTATTTAGTTTAATTTATCATTTAATTAAATGTTTAATTATGCTATCCATACTGTAAAACAGTTTCCACTGGCTGCCAAAAGACTCTAGGTCTTGACAACCTGCTGACTAAAGACTCAAAGTCTTGACAACATAAGTTTCCACTATTCACAGCATACTATTAAGCTTAATTTATCATTTAATTAAATGTTTAATTATGCTATCCATACTGTAAAACAGTTTCCACTGGCTGCCAAAAGACTCTAGGTCTTGACAACCTGCTGACTAAAGACTCAAAGTCTTGACAACATAAGTTTCCACTATTCACAGTATACTAGTTTAATTTATCATTTAATTAAATGTTTAATTATACTATCCATACTGTAAAACAGTTTCCACTGGCTGCCGAAAGACTCTAGGTCTTGACAACCTGCTGACTAAAGACTCGAAGTCTTGACAACATGAGTTTCCACTATTCACAGCATTCTATTTAGTTTAATTTATCATTTAATTAAATGTTTAATTATGCTATCCATACTGTAAAAGAGTTTCCACTGGCTGCCGAAAGACTCTAGGTCTTGAGAACCTGCTGACTAAAGACTCGAAGTCTTGAAAACATAAGTTTCCACTATTCACAGCATTCTATTTAGTTTAATTTATCATTTAATTAAATGTTTAATTATACTATCCATACTGTAAAACAGTTTCCACTGGCTGCCGAAAGAGTCTAGGTCTTGACAACCTGCTGACTAAAGACTCGAAGTCTTGACATCATAAGTTTCCACTATTCACAGCATTCTATTTAGTTTAATTTATCATTTAATTAAATGTTTAATTATACTACTCATACTGTAAAACAGTTTCCACTGGCTGCCGAAAGACTCTAGGTCTTGACAACCTGCTGACTAAAGACTCGAAGTCTTGACAACATAAGTTTCCACTATTCACAGTATTCTATTTAGTTTAATTTATAATTTAATCTTTAATTTTAATTTATCTATACTTTTACATGGTTAGTTTCCACTGGACACCTGACTAAAGACTCTTGACAACATATATTTTAGCAATTTAGAGAATGAAAATAGTCGGAGTGATCATTGTAAATAGTTTTTCTAATGTACATAGTGGCAATGCAAGTAGTATAGGGAATGAGGGTTCTAGACCACTAACTGATCTAGGCTCTATCATCACTTTTTTATTTTCGTCTTAAATCAACAAGAATCCTGCAGTATTCTCGTCCAATTTTTCTAGACCACTTTCTCCACCCATCTTCAACGTTGAATATTTCCAGTCGACTTTCATCCAATCTCTAAATTCTCTATTTAACATCTGATTTTTCCTCAAGCATTTTTAGGTGACCGTAACTTTCAGAATTTGGTCTAAAGTTTAAGTCATCCTTTTTATTTTGTGTACTTACTCCAATGTTGATATTATTGGATACAGATAAATTTATATCACCAGTCTTCCCATTTTTAGAACTCTTACGGCAGCCACAAATCTTACCTAAGCAGGAGAAGCATGACCTCCACCTTGACATCTTATCTTATGATAAACCACATGTTAGATACCAGACCCTGAATATCGAAGTGACCAGCAAAAGGACATATCCATGCTAGTACCAGTGGGCATTGAGTGTTCAGGTTTAACTATAATACACCAGGCTAGCGTGTTATCTACCAACTCAGGCTGGGCTCCTAAATAGAACATACTATTACCCTTGAAAACGTAGCAAGCTGTACTTCCACCGGTAGTTGTGTAAGTTCCATTAAACCAAGTGTGTGACAGTCTTCTTAAGTCAACCGTGGCAAGAGTGATTTCCTTCTTAACCTGTGTATATTTTCCGTTAGATTGTTTTTCCCAAACAGTAGCCCATAGGATTAGAGCTAGTGGTATATTTTGAATAGTTGAAAAACGTGGGTAGTCTGATTTAATAGTTATTGATTCAAGGTTCAGGTCTGCCATATTATTAATAGGATCTGTTCTCCATGAAGGTGGAATCTGATCGTGACAGTAAGCGTAGTACCTTGTTGCTGCAACTGAAACACCACGATAACCCCAAATCCATTCTGCATGTATATGTCTCCGTAATCTTACATATCTTAAGTCAGCCGTTGCTTGAGTAAGACCAGTGGAAGGTTTCAGGAAATTACTTTCTACCCATCGTTTGTTAACAGCATCCTTATCATTTACAGGATCCTTTAGATCAAGAATTCCACTTGAATCTCCCATATCCAAATCACCTTTTACCAGTCCACCTCTACTACTCATGAACTCATCAGTTGCCCATTTCTTATTTACAGCGGAACCGTCTGTAGTAGGATTTCCAACCCTTGTTAACTCGTAATCGTTAACATCTAAGTTACTAGCTAAAGTACCACCATTACGTTTCAGGAACTGTGAGCACCAGGAAGTCATAGATCCATAGGAAACAGCACTAGAACCTCCTGTTGACCCACTATTTAGCCCCGTAATAGTATTACCAGCCATGTCAATATTACCGCTCATACTAAAGCCACTACTTCTTACAGAACTCCCACTGACATGATCCGTGACACATTTCTTTGACACAGCAGAATCATCAGTTGTAGGAGCACCTAACTTTATAATCTCATGGTTCCCCATATCAAGGTCACCACTTAGGGACCTGCGTTTTCTGCTTCCCCAACCTACATTATCCTGTACCCACTTTTTTGAGACAGCAGATGAACCAGCACTAGGGTCGCCTATATTTATAATTTCATTTCCACTCATATCAAGAGCACCTGTCATAGAGCGAGTACCAGCTACATCCACCAGGTTTCCAGCGAGTGTGTTAAGGAAGGCAAGATTTACTAGATGGCCGGAGGATGTAGGATTTTGTACACATATAGGTGCATTTCTAAAACTAACAGTACCACCAACATTTAAGGACCCTGTTCCATCTAACCGTAAAAATGTTCCTTCATTCAAATTAAACCAGCTTTTTGTGACAACAGACTGGTCGGTAGTAGGATCACCAACATTCTTAATCTCATGTCCGCCCATTTGAAGATCACCTGACATTGTAAACCCGAAAGTATTAGGAATCGTAGACAATTTATCTTCAACCCACTTTTTAGATGTTGCCTCACTATCTAGTTTAGGATCAATAAGATCAAACAACCTCCAACCTCCCATGGACACATCTCCTTGCATTATTCCACCTTTTTTAACAAAATTATTATCGGTGGCCCACTTTTTTTTAACAGCAGACTGATCCTCAGAAGGGTCCTTAAGATTTTTAATCTCATGGTCCTTCATATCGATATCACCTGCAATATCAAGTCCAGTCACAGGTCTATTTAGCATTCCAATTACCCAATCCTTGTGAACTGCAGACTTACCAGTTGTTGGATCACCTAGTGTCACTATTTCATTGGAGGCCATGCTAATATTACCTGACATTGATCCCGAACCGTCCAGTGGTAGGAACCTACCATTTGACCACTGGTATAAATAGAAACGCGACACTGCACTATCACCCCTGCTTGCAGTTGTGGTAAGCCCCTGTACTTCGAATCCATCCGCATTCAGTACACCTTTCATCTTATTGAAGCCATTTGTGGCAAGATAGTTATTCCATATATACGTGTGCACATACTGCACACTAGCCGCCTCACTGAAGTCACCCCCATTTGACTTAAGATTAGTTATCTTATTATTTCCCATGTTGATATTCCCAGTCATAGTAAACCCTGCAGGTTGAATTGTAAGGGCAGCCTGTCTAATGATCTCATTATCTACCCAGTTTTTTGTGACAGCAGACGTATCATCTGTAGGAGCACCCAGACCTTTTACTTCATTGCCGTCCATCTCAATGTCACCCTTCATGGTAAATCCATCCTTATCAAACACACTACCAGTTGTTGGATCAATATTATTTACACCTTTAATATATCCCTTATAGAGAGCCATTTTTATAATATACACAATGTTTACAAGATAATTTTCATTAGAATAAATACAACTATAGCACCGATTCCAGCTCCAGCGATAGCACTGACTCCTGAAGACTCATTAGTACTAACCACATCATGTTTCGTGATAGGAACAACTTGAGTCTCAGCACTTGTAGAACCTTCCTGAGGCTTAGTACTTGTAGAACCTCCTGGAACCTTTTTAGTTCCATGAATAGTATCAAGGTGGTGAACTGGAGTATTGTCTTGATGCTGTTTCTTTGGAGGATAAGGTTGTTTGACTCCAACATAGTTTAGTTTAGTATTAATCCCAAAGGTAGTCGTCTTTGTAGGACTTGAGAGTATATTATTATATCCAGGAATAGGCGTTTCAAGAATGATTAGCCTAGAGGGAATCAGTATTATGTTAGGATTGATTGCCATATTTAGTATTACATTAGTGTCCCTTATAGCTATTCTCATATCGCTAATAGTAACGTTCACACTGGTCTGCACCATGGTGTCATTAACAATTCTTCTAAAAGCCTGTTGTGTTTGGAGGGACTTACCTAATTGACTACTGACAATACTCCACCTTGTTTTAGCTTGAGCTCCCAACACAGAATAAACATAACTTTCCACACTATACATAAGCAACTGTACTCCGACCTGTGTGATACCGTCCGACTCATACGGTATGAAGTGAAGGTGGTCGGAATTCGAGTAGTTTACCCATCCAGCTTTCACGTATGTTCCACCTCCGTGACTGGCCCCATTGAAAGACTGAATACTGACTGGAAGATATCCTTTCATTCCACTTAGATCGTATGCTTTCATCAGCTCAGGGTTCTTAATAAACTTTCTCATTGTGTAGTAAAGATGGTATCTAGCTATTGAAGTAATCTGGGGGTATGATCATTCCACTCCAGATTCCTAACAGAGATGCCACACAGAAAGGTTGCAATATACGCGGAACATATCTGAGCAAAATATGGTTCATTCACAAAGTCCATGCTTACTGTGCGTATATCAGTTTTAACACCACTGGGAAGTTCATCGGTACCTTTGTTGTTTTCATAAAGCACTGACTTATTTTTCCAATTATAAAGTTTTATTGGATTAAATTTAGAATAGAAGTAATCCGTATCGGAAACATACACTTTGAAATTATGCAGAGGATATCCTAGATTAACAGCCTTCTGGAAAACAGGATAGTGGTGAATACCCCATTCATGCTTAGGTTCCCTCAAATGTGTGAAAGTTGGTATGTTACCTCCTGAAGCCCAAACCAATGGCCACCCATTTCTTGTATTATTAAGTGTCTCAACCTTAGCCTTACCAATAGGGGTGACAACCTTTGTTTTCTGTTGAGGGACTACAGGAGTGGGCTTTTTCTTATGTGCATAATATGGGTCCTTCACATCTTCACCATGTTGCTGGTAATCCATCCATTCCTTACTCATGCTATAGTGATCGGAGGCATTTATAGGATCGCCTGGATGTAAGAGATGTTTTCTTTTCTTTAGCGGGTAGTCCATTCTTAATAACCTAACGTATGTTATTAAGATGAAGTTTACAATTTTATTCCAGAGTTCGCACACAGTTGTATCACTACAAAACTCAGTTCTAACAAGCAACTATAAATCAGTCTTTGTGAAGAGAGTATCAGTTTTCTGGGAGTACTTCAACATAAGGGAACCAACAACTATTCTCAAAGTGAAAACAGATGATGGAGAATCTGATGTAATTGTTAATAAAGGTTACTACACATTTGACAGTATGAAGAAGTTACTTGAAAGACACGGTGTTAAGCTAACCTACTTTGCTGAAACAGTAGGATGCCAAATAGAAGCAGTAAAACAAGATACCACAATAGAAACAAGATTACTGACCATGTTAGGTTTTAGTAGATTTAATAATCCTATGATCCTACTAAAAGGGAGGAGTTTGACAAGTGATAGCAAAGTTGACTTTAATAATGGTCTACGATGTGTAAATATACACTGCAATCTGGTTAGTAACAGTTTTAACGTTAACCCTTGGGGAAGACCCAGCGATGTAATAACAAGTGTTACAGTTCCAACTGACAGACCATTATTAGGCTCAGTTGTTAGTTACATTGATGTTGAAAGCAGGATTTCAGTTATCAAGGGTTCTTTCTCAGAACTTGTATTCCACATGACAGATCAAGATGGGAAACCTATTGATATAGGTGAAGTGCTTATCGAGATGTACCTTGAGTAGATGGCTTACATTGGTTAATATAAAATGGACGATGATATTATAAAAGAACAGGGACTACGAGATATTTACTACAATCCTAAGACTGGATTCCAGACACCAGAGAAACTATATCTTAGAGCAATATCAGACGGGCTTAAAGTAACCAGAAACCAGGTTAAGAAATGGATAAACGAGCAAGACACATACACTAGGTACAGACAAGTATTTAGGAAACATAAGTTCAGACAGACGTACGTCCAAACTTTAGGTGAACAGTTACAAATGGATTTAGTTGACATGACAAAATATGACGACAAGAATAAGGGATACCGATGGATTCTCACATCAATCGAAATACTAAGTAGGTACGCATTCACGGTACCAGTGTATAGGAAAAACGCGACATCAATGAAGGACGCCGTCAGTAACATTTTAGAGCAATTTAATAATCACTTCGGTAAATACCCAAAATTCACACAGTTTGATCAGGGCACAGAGTTTTACAATAAAGATGTAAAGTCATTGCTCAATAAACATAACATTGAATTTTTCTCTACTTACTCAGATAAAAAGGCCGCAGTTGTGGAAAGATTTAACAGAACACTGAAAGCGCTAATGTGGAAGTACTTTTACAGTGCCAGTACATATAAATGGTTAGACGTCCTTCAAGACTTAACTGATAATTACAACAGTTCAGTGAACAGATCAATTAAAACAACACCAGACAGCGTAAATGAGTCCAATTGGACTGAAGTATGGAAGACACTTTTTAGTCACAATTTAGGCAAGCCGTCGGAACCAAAGTTTGCTGTCGGAGAAAGTGTCAGGATTTCAAAGTACAAATCAGTGTTCACAAAAGGATATGAAGCAAATTTCACAGAGTAGTTGTTCACTGTGACGGAAGTGTATCACGGTCATCCAAACACGTATACAATAAAAGACAGTGCTGATGAACCAATAATTGGCAGATTCTATGAACAAGAACTGTATAGCGCTGAAGGAAGAGAACCTGATTTCAGAATAGAGAAAGTGCTAAGGAGAAGAACATTGAAGGGTAAAAAGATGGCTCTCATTAAGTGGTTAGGTTATGATGACAAATTTAACAGTTGGATACCAGCTGGAGACATTAAATCCCTAACATAAGTTAAAGTATTATGGAGGACTATGATGACATTGAGTTAGAGGAGACGGAAAAAACGTATCCTCAATATGACGACCTAAATTATGATGACCTAACGACAGCTTTTAGTAGGTTAGATACAAGGGTGAAGGGAGAGGCTATGTATGGTAATGACCCTTTAGTAATAACTAATCTTAAAAGTGAACTGGACTATGTAAAGAATCTCATGGAGAGACGTGCAATAGAAGAAACAACTTTCACCGAAGGAAATGATGGTACAGTGAACATTTCAGGTCCATCAGGAAGCACAACCATCCCAGAAGTCAACTTCGTGGAAGACCCAAACAATGTACTTCCAGACGTGCTAGATGCATTCAACGAATCATTTGAAGCTGACTGGGACGAAATAGAAGCCCGCCTAGAGAAACTGAAAAAGTTCTCAGAAGACCGACTCACAGCAAATAAAAAAAGAGATTTTGAAAACCAGGTGGAGCGTGTTCAAGCTGTCGCAAGAGTTATCAAGGGTAAGGAAGGACTAGTACTAGACCCAAAGAATAAATATGTCAGGGAACTCATAAAACGATCATCTGTAAGAACACTCAAGGATGGCACGGAGGTGCTGGTATTTAGAAGTGAACAAGGTATTGACAAAAGTGGAACACAAATAATGAAACGTGGTAAGACCAGTAAACCTGTGTACTCTAAGAACTCCATTGCGTTAAGAGAATACAAGGACCTTCTAAAGAAAATAAAAGAGGTACCTACGGATCCTGACAATATAATTAGAAGTGATGAATCAATTTATGAGGATACTAAAGAAGAGCCGCAATTCGATTCCAGTGACGAAGAATACGCTGATCGTGAGAACATTGAGTTAATAGACATAAGTGCAAAATTAGGAGACCTTCCAGGGTTAACGCAGCAAGAAAACAACAAACTGAGAGGTGTTCTTAACCCACCTGATGGAGCAAGCCTACACAGTAGAACAGGTCCTAATGGAGCGTTACAAATCCAAGCTGACTACTTTAATGAAGCTATTGGTAAGACCACAGAACTGGCCACTGAAGCCGAGGGTTCAACTGAGTATAATGCTCTTCTAGAAAGAATTGACAGTCTGAAGGAAGCTAGAGATAAGACACTAGAGCAGAGAGTAGTAGAGGAAGCAAGAGAGGAACAACTGAAGGACATTTCTAGATTACGTAAATTTATAGACTGGGTAGGAAAGGAGAAAGTGGGACTTGCAGGTATAGCAGTGTCAACAGCAGGTTTAATTACAGCCTTACTGATCCATGCCAGGGGAGCTCTTGTAAAGACAGCAAAAGCCACTGGTAAAGTAGCAAAAGCACTAGCAAATTTAGCAAAGAAAGCAGGACCAATTCTTCTTCCAATCCTAAATGCAGTTGCAACTGCGCTGTCATGGGGAGCAAAAGGAGTTGCCTGGTTAGCGTCACACTTATGGGTACTAGTTGTAGCCGTCTCCTTAATTATATACAATTATTATACTAAGTAAAGTATAATGGCTGAAAGTATAGAATACAAAGCAGCATGGATGGAAAGGGTAAGCACCGTGCTTGATGAATACAGTAGTGAATATTCAGAGATCTGGGAAGGCCTCCTAGATGAGGATCTAGATAATTTAGATAAGTTATACCCTGGCTATAGGGAAATGGAACCTGAAGCTATGGACTCTGAAATCGAAATTCTACGGGGTCAGGCAATGGAAACAGAAGACTCGGAGGAGAACAGAGATATTCAGATGGAACTTGAATATGTCAGACGACTTAGGAAAATTAAGGTCTGGAAGAGGTTGGAAACCGAGGTCTACCTGGACGCAACCCACGGAACTCTGAAGGAAGAGGTAAAAACCCTAGTTGTACTTAAGAGAATAGCTAAGGCTGGATCCAAAAGGAACGACTACTCAGAAAGAATAGACAGGATGAAGGAAATTATAAAAAACTTAGGTTTCGATCCTAATGAGCCTGAGAAGGAGTTAGAAGTGGAGGAATAAGAACGCAGCAAAGAAGGAGGAAGAGGACCGGAGAAAGGCAGCTGAGGCGGAACGCAAGAGGATCGCAGAAGAAGCTGAGTTGGAGCGCAAGAAGGATGCAGAAGCTGAGATCGAAAGACAACTGGAAGCCTCGAAAGATGATAAGGAGAAAACAGAGTATTGGAGAGAAAAGCTTGAAGAATGGGAAAAAGAAAAGAATAAACCTGAGGAACCTGAGAAGCCTAAGCCTAAGAAACCTGAACCTGAGAAACCGGAGGAACCTAAAAAGCCTAAACCCAAAAAACCTAAGAAACCTAAACCTAAGGAACCGGAGAAGGTAGACATAGACGATAAGTCCGAGGAGCCTGTAGGTCCTGACCCTGAATGGGTAGACAATACTTACAACTTTGAGAGTCTTCTATTCCAAGTCGCAGAGGATAGCATCCCAGAAGACGATCAACCTATATTCAGTGGAGACAGCACGGAAACAATAGTGAAGGATGTTAGAAAAGATTTAACGAGATATGAAAGATTCAAATCTTGGGTTGAAGACAACTTCGGAGTTGTGATTGCGGGTATTATGATATCAATTGCTGCTCTCCTCACAGCTGTCATTATACAGACCAGGAAACTTTCCTCAAAAGCAGCAAACTTTTCAAATAAAGGTTCAGGTTCAGATTCACAACCGAGACCACTCCCCGATATAGCAGACAAACTGATTGAATTCATATCATCAAACTTCTGGAAAATAGCAATAGTTGTAGGAATAGCCTTATACTTTTACCACTAAACATTACATATTGTATAAAGCATGAATACCACAGAAAGAGAACTCCAGCCTGGCTTCAGGAGAAGTCGTATGACGTCTATAAGAGGCCTTAGAACAAGAAATGTTGTAACTTTCAATCCAACAACAATTGGACCGGGAGAAGAGCTGTACATTAACATTCCTAAATTAAAGCCTGATTCTTGTTTAGTTCCAGGATCACTTACGCTATTATTTGATTTCAAGAATTCCAATACAAAAAGTAGGTTCAACAATAATTTATCCAAACTGATTGCAAAACGTCTTCAGGTTAAAGTAGCAGGTGAGACAGCCTATGACTGTTCAGGAGAGAGTTTGTATGAAATTTATAAAGACCTATGGCTAACACAGGGTGACAGAAGTAAAATGACAGAACAGGGCCTCGGAACTGAAAACCTGAGAAAGCTAATATCAGGTGACGACTCGGGAGTGAAAGTAGGTGATGCAGGTAAAGTAGCAGATGGGCTTCTCCACAGTGTATACGAATCTAAACTGAGAAAACCAATTGATAAGATTATTGCAGACCATGGACTCTACGTTCCATTGTATATGAATAATAATCCTATGTACATCCTCACACTCTCCGGATCAGATGAGATTATGACCGCCCAGGGAGGTGAAGCTAAGGGTGACTATAAACTGGATAATCTCGAGCTAGAATATGAGACCATTGAGAGCGACGCCCTTGCAGGTGAAGTATCAAGGATGTATTCAACAGGCCGCTCGCTATCCTACAAACACGTCACTCTCATGCGTACAAGTAACTGGGACAAAGATCTTACCATTGTGAATGAAAACATAAATATCCCCCGGAAGAGCATGTGAGCAATTATCCTTCTATTTACCAACAGAGTAAGAACTGATTCTGAAGAGTATATTTACCCAAACATTGATAAAGTAAACCTTACCATTGAGGGTGTGCCTAATGCAGTCTTCTCCCAAGGACTTCCTAAAAGTAGGTTCTTTGAGGAGGCAAAACGATTCTTCTGTCCTATGTGCGAGAAATCCATGGCAGATGAATTTATGTCCATCAGCAGGTTCTTCAGCGATGGTTTCGCCTTAGTAGTAGATCTAAGGTCAACACAGGATGACACCACTGGAGGAGGAAGGAAGATCGTTAACACACAGTCTGGAGTGCTTATGGAAATCAAAAAGCGAGCCACAACAGCAGACGTTCAGTGCAACATTTTTGTTGTATCAGATGCTCTACTTAACTTTGCTAGTAGAGATCTATCAAGTATTCAGTACTAGCTGCGTAAGTAGCTCCTACTGACGTAGTCGGTACTAATTAGTACTAACGGTAAAGCATAGAGATGAATCTAGAGCCGCCATTTAATATGCTCATAGTAGGAATGACTGGAAGTGGTAAGACTCAGTTCTTACTTAATATGTTAGAAATAGAATACAATAAAGTTTTTGATTATATTGTTATTATATGTCCAACGATAGAATGGAATATGACTTACATTAACTGGGCTCATATTAGTGACCATGGAGTCATACAAATTCCATGTTCCCAGGAAATGATCAACCTTATTCTCAAGGCAGTGTCCACCGTATTCCGCGGAACTCGGACTCTCATTATAGTGGATGATTGTGCTGCAAGTCAAGATGTAAAGAAAAGAGTCTCAGAACTGGTGCGTCTAGCATTCTCCGCAAGACATTACAACCTATCTGTCATTGTAATTACCCAGCAACTGTCATCAGTAGCAAAACCCTTCAGGGAGAACATTTCTAGGTTAGTTACATTTTCCAACCCTAGTCGCAGAGATATGAAGGTCATAACAGATGATTACCTAAGTGGTGTCCCACAGGAGACAATTACAGAAATTACGGAACTACTAAAAGATGAGAAGTTCACCGCATTAGATATACTACTCATTCACCCTTACACATACACTATTAAGTTAAACACCGCGTAATGTATAGAAGATGGGATCAGAATCTGATGAAGAAATATCTAAAGCTGTGAAGGAAGTTGAGGAGGCCGCAAAGCCGCCGCAAAAGAAGGCTAAGTCTCCCGCAATAAAAACTAAGCCCACCACAGATAAGTCGCAAACTGAACACAAAAGGAATAAGCTTATTGAGCTATCAAGGGACGGTGTAATTGATAAGACCGCAGGTTTCATAAGAAAGTCCAACAAAGATGTTGTGGATAGACTTTATAGTAAGTATGAAAGTCAGAGGATGTCATGCGCAAGTGACTTCTTATCAACACTTATAATTTCAAAGTTTGCTTCCATACTAGGAAGTTTCGGTGCTGTGGAATCTTCTGAGAAGCTGTCAGAGGAACTGCTTAGTGATAAGCTTTTAAAGGATGACGTATGTTATTTAACTAGAACGATATCCCCAAATATTCCATTCATTGGTCTCATATCAGGTGGGTGTACAACAGCAAAGCATGTGGTAGCTCATAAGTGGAAGAAGAAGGAAAAGACTGAGGAAATATCTGAGGAGGCAAAACAAATCTTATTACATAGTGAAGAAGAATGTCAGACCATGAGTGGGGGAACGCTTGGGAAGGAACTGAGTTCGAATATATAATCGATGAGTTAATTGAGAAGACCAATAAAAGCATGGAAAGGATAGACAAGATTGGGAAGAAAGTCGATGCAATTGAGAGGGACCTCTACTCACTTAAGTTTAAAGTAATGGAACCATTTCAACATGAATTCCATACTTTCAAGGAAGACACAATTAAAACAGTTGTAAAGATATACAAGAGACTAAATGAAATGTAATTTTTTAAACTAGGGAAAAATGTGGATGGGGAGTAGTTGGGTGGGAAGAGGGAGTACTACTTCATAGGTAAAGCAAAGGGGTGCCCTCGAGGGCACCCCTTTGAGAAAGGTTATAATACAACCACTCTTACTAACTTGGAGGTGGGACCCAACAGGGTCCCACCTAGAGGGTGGGTCTTACGGTCTATCATAATTAATACTAGTAAATCAAAATAAAATAGCCATAAAATAGGCCCAAAATTTTTTACATATATAGTATAGAGAAAGATGGAAAAACTATTCAGAAACCGAGAGTTGAATGTTAGTGTAAGAACTGTTAAGAGTAGTGAGGAGGTACTGTTTTATGCAAAAGATGTGGCGGAGTTTCTAGGGTACTCGAATACAGGAAAAGCAGTTAGAAACCATGTTTGGGAAGAGGATAAGTGCACTCTAGGGTCAATTCAAAGGGGTGCCCTTGAGGGCACCCCTTTGAAAGGTCAGCCCGGTTCCATTTTAATTACAGAACAGGGTTTATATCAGTTAATTTTCGGATCAGAGCTTAACACAGCAAAGAACTTCAGAAGGTGGGTATTCACTGAAGTCCTCCCAGCTATCCGTAAAACGGGATCTTATAACTTATCAGATAGGAGGTCGCTTAGGTACAACCAAATAATCATTCTAAACGAAACGGACCTTCATCACATAGTTGTAAGTTACATCAGAGATAACTACCCAGAAGCTGTAATAGTACCTGGTCTAGGTGAGTACCAAGATACTGTGTCAAAGAGATGTGATGCCTGGAAGAAGGGATATAAAGGTGGTCAGCCAGATCTTATCATAGAGAATCCTATGGGAGACTACAAAGGATTTGCTATCGAATTTAAGTCTCCTAAGGGCACTGGAGTTATAAGTGAGAATCAGGATATATTGTTCAGAAAACTGAGGGGAATAGGGTACATGACAATGGTATGAGATGATCTAGTAAATACTTGCATTAGAATCAATGAGTATTTCTCACTTAAGAAAACCATAAGGAAAGTTGCAGTGAAAAAAGTAGCTTGTGATGTAAAGACATACAGACCAAGGTTCAATTCAGGTAAGTTTTGAGTTATCTCACAAGTAAATCTGAGTTATCTCACCAGTTATCTCACCAGTAGATTTAAGTTATCTTGCAAGTAAATTCGAGACATCTCGCAAGTAAATTCAAGTTATCTTACAAGCAAATCTGAGATGTCTCATAAGACTAAACCCAGTTAAACCTAAGGTATCTTACAAGTATAATGGAAGACAAACCCGAGCAAACCCAAGCACAGGTAACAAGCGAGAAGAAGAAGGACCCGAAGAGAGTAGCCGCAGGAAAACGATTAGCTGCGATCAGCAAAATAGCAAAGGAGAGGAAAAAGAAACTTGCGGAACCTAAGGAGCCATCAGGTAATGACAGTATGATTACCTACATAGGAGTAGCCATTGCATTGGTGTCTCTAGTGTTAGCATACAAGTCGCATCAGAGGGAAACAAGGGAACCGGAACCCAAGCACGTACCCGAGACTATTGAGATAACTGGGAAAGCTGATGAGTCTAGGTTAGATTCACTTGAATGATACATTAAACATAATATATATTATAACAAGATGAGTAAAGAATCGAAGATAACGAAGGACGTGTACAACGCAGTGTTACTTACAGCAGGAGCAGTCGGTATTTCAATGGCATCGAAGAAACTATTAAAAGAACCGTTAGGAACCCCAGAGAACGTAAAAGGAATGGCAAAGTTAGCTGTCTCAGTTAGCCTTTCATCCCTACTAGTATCTTACTTGAAAGATAAGAAGTATCTACCAGATGATCCATTCAAAACCTAGGTAAAACTATACAATGACATCAGCAGTAGCGGGAGGACTCTTTAATGCATTTGCATTTGCTGGAGCAGGATACCTATTTAAGATGTTCGATAAGAACGGATATGCTGAGGAAGCTCATAGACATAACATTGCAATGGAGAACCTAACAGCTGAAAGAGAGAAGTACCTTGAGGAAGTCACCAATAGAAGAAATAGAATTGCCCAGCTAAAGTCAGAATTAGCCGATGCAAATAGGGATATCAATTCAACAAATAAATCACTAGAACTCGTTAGAAGAATCAATGAGTTAACACGTAAGGCTATGCCGAGGAGGCCGCAGTTAAGTAATCACTACAAACCTAGCTCAGAGATGGAAGAATATATGGCAATCTTCGGTTTAATTATAGGTGGTGTGGTTGGAGGGGCAGCTTACTTAATTCTATAAAAAATACAGCAATTTTCTTTTACATATATAATATAGAGAAATGAATTGGCTTGCAATGGTAGACGTTGACGAAGTGGTAGCCTTGGGAAAAATGGTGGACACCATAGAAGAACTAGAGGCTGCAGTTAAAAAATATGTGGAATGGCGAATAATAAGGAGGCGTAAAAATAAACCACAAAAACAAGCAGAAAATTTTAACACATATAGTATAGGGGATGGACTGGCTGACACTGGTAACACCTGATGAAATGGAACGAGTCGGTAAGAATGCGAACACCATTGAGGAGTTAGAGGCTGCAGTAATGAAATACGTGAGAAATAAAATGAAGGTCAAACACACATATGACCCAGTATGTAGTGAATGTGGTAGTAAGTCAATTGTAATGATAGATGGAGCAGATACATGCACACAATGTGGCACAAGTGATATGAATAACTTTACATACTACGTTAGTTACAATCACAACAAGGACGACTACCTGAAAAAGAAGTCTTGTCATAATAGAGTCCGTTGGTTTGAGAGACACTTATTCGAGCATGTTGCTTCTGGGGATAGGGATACCATACGGGAGCAGTTTAGAAGCATTGTAAGATGTATACAAAGACTTAGACTGCAACGGGGGCGCAACATAGTTAGATATAAGTTTTACCTACTTAGGTTGGCCAGCATGAACAACATCATGTTGAGAAACCCACCTGAGGATATTAAGACTCAAAGAATTGTGAACATCCTTGAGGACAGATTATATGGAAAGGTTTTCCCCGAGTTGGGATGGGAACCAGAAAATTGTAAATATTATAATAACTGGAAATTTAGACATAAATAAATATTAAATAAAATATCAATTATAAAGTTTAAATAAAATTAAATTATTAAATAAAAATTACTAATTAAATAAAATAAAAATTATTAATTAAATAAAATAAAAATTACTAAATTAAATAGAAATTAAATTATTAAATAAAAATTATTAATTAAATAAAAATTAAATAGGCCTTTAAATAGGCCTATTTTTTTTTACCTATAGTATATAGAGAAAGAGTGAAAAATGGCGACAAACTTTGACATGAACAATATGACCGTTGAACAACTTATGGCGCTTAGTGAGATAATTGATGATAGCGACTATGAGGAAAATTTCGAGGATGGGGTGGAAAGAATATCTGAGGACAAGTTCTATCGAGTTCCACCTAAGGATAAGGGCAAAGATCCCTTTGAAGGAGAAAGACAATTCATAGATGAAGGTGACCGTTCTACTGACTCAAGAAGGGCAAGGAGGCGCCCATTAAATGAGAAGGGTGAGAGGGGAATAATGCCAACATGGAAATATTCTGAGAGACAGAAGGCAAAGGCTTTACTAGTTGAGGAGGCATACCAGAGCTTACTTAGTAGAGGAGTTGAAGGTTTACCACCAACAATGGGAGGTAGATGGAGAACGGATGATCCCCAGGTAAATGCGGAGATGAAGAGGTTAGAGAACCTTAGGAATCCTAAGCGTCCCAGAGGTAGGCCACCAAAGGCTAAGACCGATGGCGCTGTTAAGGCTCCCAGAGGACGACCACAAAAGGCTAAGTCTGACGCTGAGGTTGCGATTCCGAAGAGACGTGGAAGACCACCAAAGGTTAAGTCTGACGCTGAGGTTGTTATTCCAAAGAGACGTGGGAGACCACCAAAGGTTAAGGTAGTTGAAACACCAAAACCTAAGGTTAAGAGGCAAACTGTCGCCGAGAGGTTCATAAGTCAAAACCGAATAAAACTCTCAATTCCCGCGGATAGTGTGATAACCCAGGTGGGACCAAGTAAGTTCACGGTGACTGTGGATCTTAGTAAGAAACCGACACGGAAAGCTCCTGGAATACCGAAGGGTGTGGCTCCATGGAAACCTAGGGAAAGACCAGTTCCTAAACCAAGAACTATAATCCCTAAGGAAAAACCTATTCCGAAACCAAGAACTATTCCTAAGGAAAGACCGGTTCCTAAACCTAGGACTAAAAAGCCAGTGCCTCCTCCAAAGTTAAGGAAGCCTGTGAAGGTGATGAAGGAAGTTGGGGAACAGCCTGTAGTGGTCGCACCAAAGGAACATGAAATTGATCCATTTGGAACATACCTCGAGAAGCCATCCTATAGGAAAATAGAAACTGCCGCAAATGGTGCAGCTGTGACTTACTCGATAACTCCAAATTACATGGATCCCCTAGACCAGATGACCGCAAGCAGGCAGGTGGTGAGGGGAGTATTAGTGAATGAGTTGAAGAGAATGGGAGGTCTGAAATATACGGAAACCATTAAGGTAAGAATGTCGAAGGAAATTGGAAATAACAAAACAAAGAAGGATTCAATATACTTCAAGTCAAAAACTGGAACTGCAACCAACTTCGAGGATATTGAAAGCACTGCAGCTCAAAACCAACTAACAATCTTATCTAGAATTGAAACCTTCCAGAACTTAGGTTCAAATTGGATTATACTAAACATTGAAAGCCACTACGTTAATATTGCGATGTACAAACCTCTAAAGGGTAGTTCATACATGAAATTACCCGCAGACATTAGCAATCCAAAATGTGGTTTAATTAACATGAAAAACAACGATGAGAAATGTTTCATGTGGAGTCATGTGAGACATGTGAGACCAAAGGCTAGGAGAGCAACTACCATTACAAAGCAAGATATTGAGTTCGCGGAAAACCTAGACTATGAGGGTATTGACTTCCCTGTAAAAATAAGCGACATTGATAAAATTGAGAGGAAGAATTCGATAAGTATATCAGTGTTTGGTTATAAGGGCAAAAAGCAGTTCTACCCAATCAGGAACTCTAAGACTAAATATGACGAACATATGGAGCTGCTGCTGTTGGGTGATAACGAAGGTGGTAACCACTACGTTCTAATAAAGGATGTAAATAGAATGCTCTTCAGTGTTAGCGGAAACTCGAACAAGAAACACTTCTGCCTACATTGCCTCCATAGTTGCGTCAGCGAAGAATCATTGAAGAAACATAGCGAAACATGTTTGGAGGTAAATGGAACCCAGGCCACAAAGCTTCCAAGTGAGGGTACAAAAATAAAGTTTAAAAATCACAGAAACTCGATGCCCGCACCCTTTGTGATCTATGCTGACTTTGAGTCTATGCTAGTTCCTGAGGAAAGAAAAGTTGAATCCGAAGACACTGAGGAGAAGAGTACAACGGAACTTTACCAAACACACAAAGCTTGTAGTTTCGGGTTGAAAACAGTATGTCATTATGATGATCAGTACTCCGGTGAATACGTAAGCTACGTTGGTGAAGACGCTACAGAAGTCTTTTTGAAGACCGTACTGAAGGAGTCCATTAAGTGCCGAGAAATGGTAAATAAAATATTCAAGAAAAAAATGGTAATTACACCGAAGCAAGAAACTGAGTTCTGGATGACAAGGAACTGCTCCATATGTGGTAATGACTTAGGTGATGACAGAGTGAGAGACCACGACCATGTAACTGGACTCTACCGTGGAGCTGCCCATAATATGTGCAACCTAAAATACAGAATTACATGGAAAGTTTCTGTGGTCTTCCACAATCTGAGAGGTTACGATAGCCATCTAATAATGCAGGAGATCGGTAAGTTTAAGATGAACATTAACGTTGTCCCAAATAACATGGAAAAATACATTTCCTTCTCGCTAGGTAAAAGTCTTCTGTTCATTGACTCAATACAATTTATGGCTTCTTCCCTGGAAGCACTTGTGAGTAACCTTTCACCTGAAGACTTCAAGATAGTCGGTCAGCGGTGGCAGGGTGAGGACTTCGATCTTGTGAGACAAAAAGGTATATTTCCATATGAATACTTGGATGACATAAGTAAACTTGACACTGAGGGACTTCCAAGTAAAGACAAATTCTACTCATCTCTATACGAGTCTGAAGTGAAAGAAGAAGATTACCAGAGAGCTCTAAAAGTTTGGGATCACTTTAAGATGAAAACAATGAAAGACTACCACGATCTCTACTTGGAGACTGACGTTCTTCTTCTAGCAGATGTTTTTGAGAATTTCAGGAAGACCTGCTTGGAAAACTACAAGCTTGACCCTGCTCACTACATCTCAGCACCAAGTCTAAGTTGGGACGCTTTCCTAAAACAGTCAGGTGAGGAAATAGAATTGGTAAGCGATATGGATATGTTCCAGTTCTTCGAGAAGGGAATGAGAGGTGGGATAAGTCACATTGCTCACAGACACTCTACAGTAAATAATAAGTACATGGAAACGTACGACGAAGAGGCTGAAAACAAGTTCCTTATGTACCTCGACGCCAACAATCTATATGGCTGGGCAATGTCCCAACCTCTACCAAATGGAGAGTTTGAGTGGGTTGAGGAATTTGATGGTATGAACCTTGATGACTACCTTGGAGACAGTGGAAGGAGTATGGTCCTTGAGGTTGACATGGAATATCCAGAAGAACTTCACAACCTACATAATGGTTATCCACTAGCCCCGGAGAGTAAGGAGATTGATGCGTCAATGTTATCGGACTACGCGAAGAATATTGCTGATAAATTCCAGCTGACGATTGGAGGTGTAAGAAAACTGGTGAACTCCTTAGGTCCCAGGAAGAACTACGTCCTACATGTCCGTAACTTGAAACTCTACATGGAACTCGGAATGAAACTTGTGAAGGTCCATAGAGCAGTCTCCTTCAAGCAGTCAACTTGGTTGAAAAACTATATTGACTTCAATACTCAAAAACGGTCAGTCGCTAAGAATGCGTTTGAGAAAAACTTCTTCAAACTTATGAATAATTCCATCTACGGAAAGACCATGGAAAATTTGAGGAAGAGAGTTGATGTAAAATTAGTGTCGTCGGAAAATGACCTCCTAAAACTTACAGCGTCTCCATGCTCCCAATCACATAGGATTATGAATGAGAGCTTAATCGTGGTAAAGAGAATGAAGGAAGTGTTAACTCTAAATAAACCATGCTACGTGGGAATGAGTATCTTAGACTTATCTAAGACTCTGATGTACGACTTCCATTACAACACGATCAAGAAGGAGTACGGTGATAAGTCGAAGCTCCTATTCACAGACACTGACAGTCTAATGTACGAGATCAAGACTGATGACGTGTATGAGGACTTCAAGAGGATAGGTCAGGAGCAGGACTGTAGGGACAACTCAGATTATCCGAAAGATTCTCCATATTACTCAGCTCATAATAAGAAGGTAATTGGAAAGTTTAAGGATGAAGCTGGAGGAGTACCAGTGATTGAATTCGTAGGGTTAAGGTCAAAGATGTACTCCTATGTGAAGGAGAGTGGTGGAGGTGGAATGACAGCTAAAGGTGTGAAAAAGTACGTGATCAGAAACAAACTCACTCACGAAAACTTTAAGAACGTAATTAAGACCAAAGGTAGGATGAGACATAAGATGAACACAATCAGAAGCATCAAACATAAAATCGGAACTTACCAGCTAAAGAAAATTACACTCAGCTGTTTCGATGACAAAAGATACCTACTTGAAGACGGAGTTTCAAGTTACGCGTACGGACATCACTCAATAGGAGAAATGAAGGCTGAGGTGGTGATTGAAGAAAAAGTGGAACCGAGCTGTGTACTAGAAAGGGTTGGAACTCAGAGTGAATACTGTAGACTCGAGGAAGCAGTAGAACTCTACGAAGGCCCTCCTTGGGAAAACCTGGAACCAAGAGAAGAGAAACATATTCCCAGACCAGAATATAAAGTAGTGATTCCACTGAAGAGGTTTAAGTTCAAGAAATCAACACCGTTGAGGGTAGTCGTAACTGATGAGAACCATCTAAGGAAAAACTACGACATACTACCAAAAGATGAAAGGAAATATTTGAGAATGGTGTTGGGAGAGAAAGCGAAGTCGTTGGGTGTTCAGGCAATCAGAATCCCTGGAAGCGATAAGTTGATTGCAATTGGATTTTGAGTAAATTGTTAAATAGAGAATTTAGAGATTGGATGAAAGTCGACTGGAAATATTAAACGTTGAAGATGGGCGGAGAAAGTGGTCTAGAAAAATTGGACGAGAATACTGCAGGATTCTTGTTGATTTAAGACGAAAATAAAAAAGTGATGATAGAGCCTAGATCAGTTAGTGGTCTAGAACCCTCATTCCCTATACTACTAATGCACCCGGCCCTGCTATTTTACTCTGTATAATGCCAGGCAATTCAGGTTTGTTATAACGTCTTAATTTCTGCAATTTGTGTATATAGGTGCAGGTGCTGGCAAAATTACAGCCTTCATTGTACATTTCCTTCAAGATTCTCATTACTTCTGGCATAGTTGGTCTCGATGCTGGCTTGGCATCTTTGCAATGCCTTCCTAAGGATTCCAGACAGGCGTTTGGCAATTTCTTTCCAATGGTATATATTATTACCCCAAACGAAAAAACGTCACTGGATGCACTCTCAGGCTGACCTCGCAAAACCTCTGTGGCAATATGGTTGTAAAAAGAAGTGTACTTTCGAGCTTTTGGCCTAGAAATTAAGCAAGCCTTACCAAAGTCTATCAGAAAACCTTTCTTTTCTGTAACAAGAACATTGTTTGACTTGACATCACAGTGCAAAAAACCCTTGATGTGAACATGAAAAAGAGCTTCTGCAATGTCAAGTAAAACTGAGATCCACTCATTTGCGGAAAGTAACAAATGTTTTGGTATGGTTTGGTGCAACAACTTATGAATTGTTACTGATTCCAAATTCTCATCACCAACAAACTGCATAACTAAAGAGAAAGGTTTTTCTTCAATTTGGACCCCTAATAAATAGGGAATAGATGCATGAGTTAGTGTATTCATACATTGTGCCTCATTCATAACTGCTTTTAAATCAGATGTTGGCAGCTTCTTCTAAACAACAGTAATCCCAAATCTCTTAAACGTTTTAAGAAAACAATCCCCATAGGTTCCAGAGCCAACAGGAATAGTGGCTGAGTTATTTACTTCCAATGGCAACCACTCATATGGCCTTATTTGTTTTACTGAAGCAATACTCATTTTGGTTAGTGAGGCATTACCAGTTGCAGCAGTATCCATTGAAACCTATAACATTAGTAATAGAATTAAATTTCTATGTAAAAATTAATGTAGCCAACAAATAGTAAATCTGGTATTGTACTTTTAATCCCTCTCAATATTTATTGGTATAAGTTATTATGTGGTGGTGAGTACAATACATGCTTCCAGAAAGTACATCGTCTTGGCTACAGAGCCATGTTTTCATGGTTGAGATGCTAGGTTTTACATCATATACCTGAAAACGAGATTCTATACTCTACAGCCAATGATGTTCTGCACATTCCAGAAGGGTGTATTAAGGTATAACAGTACTAGTGATGTTTGACATTTTGCCAAAATTGCATGAATGTTGCTAATCCTGGCAAAAACCATGAGGGCATGTATATAGTTTGTTTCAATGATTTGGACAATTTTTACACACAAGTATAATGAAATATTATTGACTGATGTTGTTGTTGTTGTTTTTGGGAAACAGCATGTTTTGTCAAACACTGTATGCCTCAGTCAGCAAAACATACTGTTTCCTTTCAGAATCACTGGTCTCAGTTAATATTTAATATCCGACACTTGATATTTTCAATAATAAATGTTGTAAAATATTTTTACCTTTACCTTTACTTTATGTACTGTAGTCTAGGTGTCACCACATGAATTGATGGGTTACACAGCACCACAAATCATGTAATAACCATCCCCCCCCCCCTCCCTTGGCACATTTGAGTGGGAATTTATTGGAGAGGATGCTTAATTGTACAATAGAGAAGAGAACTTATTGATTTAACTAGCATGAACTTCAATGATATTTAATAAATCTATTTACAGCAGTATACCTGTATGTGAAGTATACAGGGGGTGCAGTATTAGAGTGGGGGTGTCCTGGGCTTAGGGCTAGGTCTATAATAAATATATTACTGTATCCAAAATATATCACATTCCAACTATTCTTGAAGCAAAATCATACCTTTCTCTTGCGACTTTGTGCCGGTATTTTACGTCGAAGTTCGTTTGCTTCTTTAGAAATGTTTTTCCACTTGGTAAATATTTCTCAGCGAGTGCTTTCTGCTCCTTCACGGCTGCATTTACTTTCTGCGCTAAAACCTCTTCATTAACCATGCGGTTGGCTAACGCTCGCTCTTGTCTCCTCCGTTTCTTGCGGCAATTTCGCATTCTCCTCTTCTTTTGGAACTGACTTATTTCGTTGTTAGCTTTCTCCATTATGATTTTAGCGATGTGAACAACAAAGAAAATGAATGGGAATATACTATATTATAGAAATTCAATAAGAAATTGTGATCACGGTTCCCGAAGCAAAATTCTAGCGCCAACTGCGCGAAATTGCGCCAACATATTATATTACGCAAACAATGCGATTTGTCAACAGACTGGTAACGACAATCAGAAGTTCGCATTTTAAGTGAATCGTATTAAAGTTTAAAGTCGCACCCTGGACTTATTTGAAAAAATTAACTGATACAGAATTATACGAGTTCATATCGTATTAAATCTCTGGTAAACTATAGCTTTATTTTGCATTAAAGTTATGTAAATGTATAAATAATGATATTAAATGAGTTTGAAAACTCAGATTGGGGAACTGTGTGGTCTGTGGTCGCTTAGGAACGAAACGTTTGTAATGCTTAATTATGTTCTTTAAAAGTTTAAATCGTTCTTGTAAACTGCCTCTTACTGATGTAGCCTATGGACCATCTTGAAAGTCTATTTACAAGGCTTAAACAACATTCATCTTTCTGTAACTTATTGAATATGAAAATAAACGGTTGCGTGGTAAAAACGGCCTGTTTATAAGTATTGATGGAACAGCAATTTCATGCATCAAATACAGAATACTGTACAACGGACCTCGTCCTCTGCTGCTCCCTGAAAACACGCTATATTTGTGGTTTCGCACTTTTCGCGGTAAGTAATCTATAAATACGTATGTTAATAATTTCAATTTAACGACTGTATATTTAATAATCACGACCGAAGGGAACGGGGAAAGGGCTAAAAGGCAAGACCGAAATTTTATATCGATTAATTGCTTGTATTCTTTCAAATATTTGGTGGCTCTTAAAAGAGCCGTTTTATCATCTTTAATCTGTTTAATTTTCTTCATTTTCTTTCTACTTTCCACTGATCCGTTAAGGCTTTACAGTATTTCAATTTGTCCATCAGCAGTTTCGAAGTTGGATCTTTTAACAAGGTTTTCGTTGTCAGTAGTGTACCATTCTTATGAACGTGTTGCCGCTCGATGTTCTTCAGCTGTTGTTTGATGTTAGTCTGTTCGTGCAGTAACTTGGTTTCCATGACTGGTAAGACGTGTAAGTATTTGTTTATGAGTTCCGTGTTTTGGGGTGAAGCCCGTAATTCTTTTCTTGCCTTATCAAACTGCAACACATCCTCGGTCAGTCCCAAAATATATCCTAATTTTTGTCCTTGTTTTGTCTGTGCTGTCTGTTTCATATCGTCTCCTAGAAATAAACAAGACCAAATGTGTTTAATTAAAGTAGGCAAAGAAATATTCACACCCGATTATTGAATTAAAATAGCTATTTAACTTAAGGCTATTTGTAGATAATAGAACAATAATTATCACAGTAATGTAATACAAATATTGGTACCAGTACCTTTATCCCTATTTTTTGGTTCCATAGTGTTTGCTTCAGAATTTGAACCAGTTTCATTAGCTTCACCCTGATGATCATTCTCAAAACAAACAACATTATCTTCAGAAACCTCAACTAACCTTACATTATATTCAACATCCACTTCTAGCTCACCTGTTTCTACAATATCATCACAACCAACCACGTCATCACCACCTGCAACCACAGCATCACAACCTAACTCAGCATCACAACCAACTACTGCATCACATCCAACCACACTCTCATCAACAACACCAATATCTTCACTTTCTGGCATACAACCTTGACCAACGATGGCCCTCCCTGCACATCCAACTTCCATACCTTCCCTCTCCTGGTTTGTATCCATAAATACCATGTTACCTTCGGCATTTTCAATCTGAAGTACTTTGACTGGCATTTCTATTTTTTTCTTTAAGCATGTTTGCCAACAGTGCTTTAAGTAAGCTTCCTCTTTTTTAAAGTTGCTGGAGCAGAAATGGTGCAAGGTCGGTCCTTGAGGAACTGCTTCAGGATTTCCCTTCGCATCAAGAAACTCAATGTCACCATTGTTGCATGTTCTCCACCAAATTCCTTCACCTGCTAATAAGAAATCACAGATCCTTTCAAGATGAGCTTGCCAAGGTCTGAAATTACTTACTAGCATCTGTTTAGGAATAACAGTGTTTCCAAAATTTGGAAGAGAACATGCAAGTTTGGAAACATGAGCTTCTTGTGTGTCAGAGGTTGATGGTTGTTCAGCTTTCAAATCCTTTTCAGCCTGGACTCGGATAAAGACGTTGCCAATGATGTGCGCGGGATGGTTAGAAGATGTCATTCGGGTTATGTTGTTGATGCTAGTGAATACTCGTTCCTGTTCTTCGGTGTTTGCAGATCGGCCGCTTATCAATCTGTTCTGGATTGGTGCATGTGCTGGAATGTTGTGGAAGTAGTTACCGTAAAACTTTCGTGTTGACATTTGCTTCAGGGAAAACCCGATAACTGACCTGCACAACATTGCGTGACGCCAGATAAGGTTATGAAATCTCAGAACTGATCGTGGTGTTCTGTGCTCTTCTGAGTTGTAGGCTACTTCTTGAATTTCAACAAGGGTGTCAAGCAACAATTGAACCTTTGGATTAACGGAGCCTCTAAGCTGATTTGAAACAACAATCAAAGCACAGCGGTAATCAATGGTTCGCTTTGTGTCTTTCCCCCCAATGCACAATTGAAGAATAGCCTTCAACTTAGAAGCTTCATTGGTTGGCAGATGGTCTGGTAGCTCACAAAATAGATTTTCGATATGCTTCCCAATGTCGTGGAGGGGTTCAAAACCTAGAATCTCATAACCAGCACAGTTAATTGACTCTAAGGTTTTATTGGGACTGGTGAAAAGTAGGGCTGGTACTCTTTGAACTCCATGCAGCTCATCCTTCAAGAGATCCTCTAATTCTTTCTTTTTTTCTCCTTCATACAGTAGATTGATCTGGCATTCAACTCCCTGATCAAGTTGGGTTTTGTTAATCCATGGAAAGGTTTATTTGACTTTGCCAAAGAATTTGCTTTACCATGTGGACCTTTAAACACCAACTGTTGTCGATCCTCCAGTGATACATGTGGGCAACGAAACACATAATCAAGTTCATGCACCCGATGAGCATTGGCACCACACATGGCACAGTAGAAATTCCCACCTTTCTGTTGACCAGCTTCATATTGACGAGAAGGACTGTCACCGTGGGAAAACCTTATCTTGTCTGCAACAGGTACACCAGTGGTTGTAGTAGTGGGGTCTGAGAGTTCCTCTAAACAGTCAAGTCTGGTCTCAATGTAACATAATTGATCTTCATCACAGGATGAGGACCTTGCTACAATGTACAGACTTAGTGCTTCAACTAATGACTGGATATTTACTTTTTTCTCAGTGATGGCTTCATATTCACTGTTGGTGTAGAATTTGGCTTGGTCATATAAGCAGGTTGCCATAAAGACAAGGTGAGAATGGTTCGCTACTGTAGATAGGTCATGCCATACTAGTAGATGCCGTGTTCTTACCATTACCCTTAGCCGCACTCTCATCTCTATTTCATCCTCACCCTCTTTTCTCTCATTCAGCATTGTCAACCCGTTCTCAACTTCTGTCACACTCATGCTATCCACATCTTTTTTATCATTAATTCGCATATATTTCTCCAACTCGTGTAGCTTTCTTCTCCTGATCTCAACCAGTGGGCATTTGCGTCCTTCCACAAAAAAGGAAGACTTCTCGATTGAACCATCCTCTTTGAGCACTAGCTTCTCATACTAAACAAGAATGAAAGATTATTTGATTTTAATTAAAACTAGCTCACAGGTAAAATGCAAACAGTTTAAATCTACTGTGAACCTTTACTATTTTATTAACATTTACAGTACTAGCTCTTCTACTTCAATACCAGTATTTAGGAATAAGAATCACAAAAACTATTGCAATCTCTAAACTATAATTTCCTTTTATTAATTATTACTACTGTACATAAATCTGACTACTGGTACAGTATATTTGAATTGATTTTCAGTGGTATATTAATATTTTAATATTTTTTGAAATAATTTCCAGTTATTTAAAATGTCTAAAACCTGATAATTTTATATAACTATTGCGATTTAATTACCTTTCTTGGCACTATTAGCTCCCCAACATTGATTTCGCCTGACAAAACTTTTTCTTGCAATTTCTTCAGCACTTTTCCATTGGTTTCAGGACATGGAACAGTGATTTCACCACCTGCACCTCTTCTTAATTTTTTTCTTATATTGCCCTCATTACATTCTGTTCTTCTTTTCTCAAATCTTTCCACATTAACTCCTTCCGACTTCAGCCACTCCATAGCAATTTGACCACCGTTTTGAGCTAACTCTCCAGTTTTGTTTTTGATTTGGAATCGTCTTGCTAACTCAGACCAGTTGACCAAAGTGTCATCTCCATAACTATTAACTTCATCTTTCATCCCTTGCTTATCCCATTCCATGTTAGCAAACTTGCCAACAGGACTTTTCTGCTTCCCTTGTTGTTTCTGCTCCCTTTTGCGTTCAGCTGCATCTTCTTTACTCTCAAAACACATTGTTAATCTTTCCCTTTGTCTTCCTGCTAATGATTGTCGATTTCCAAAGCATCTATTAAATACAATTATATTTCATTATCACTAATGATATCTCACCAGCTACTCCAGCTGGATACTTTTACCTCACTATAGACTATTAGTTACCCCGGCTCACAGGCTGGGTATGATATCTCACTAGATATTCCGACTGTATATTTTTACAGGATTAGGTACCCCAGCCGGATATGATATCTCACTATACCTATACCCTGGCTGGATATTTTTTACCTCTGAGTCACATTATAGTTACCCTGGCTGGGTATCTAGCTACCCTTGGCTGGGTATGATATCTAGCTGCCCTGGCTAGGTATGATATCTATAGCTACCCCGGTTGGGTATCATATCCAGCTACCCTGGCCCGGTATTATATCTAGATACCATGGCTAGGTATTATATATATCTGGTTACCCCGGCTTGATATGAGATCTAGCTACCCCAGCTGGATAGTTTTACATGACCAGTTACCATGGCTGTCTATGATATATCTGGGTATGATATATATGGCTACCCCACGGGGTCCAGTTACCCCGGATGAATATGGTATCTTGCTGGTTACCCCGGCTTATTGGTTTACCTACTGTATATATGCATTAGTCATCCCAGCTACCCATTTGATTATTTTTAGATACCTGATAAAAGATGTATTTTCCCATTCTGTTTCTACTGCTTCCTTGAATTTTCTATAATTATTTTTTACTGTTCGTTTTTTTTCAGCTTTAGACTTCTTCTCCTCAATATTGAGATCTTTTACTTTGGTCAATGCTTTAACAAGGGAATGTCCAGTGATCTTTTCAAACATGGGGTTCACCTGGTCGTATAAAGACTTTGCAGTCTCACCTGCTTCACGGAGAGTGGTACTCCCTGGTTGACTTGGCAGTTGGACTTTAATGGCTTTGTTCGTGACTTTGGGATTGTTCTCCTTCATTAAACCGGTGAACCTCTTGCATTTGGTAGGAAATAAAACTTGTATGTGACTGTATTTCAGCTGACATTGCTTACAATTTTGGAATGTATGTTTAACTTGCATCGCCGGAGAAAGTTTATTCCAAGCTTCGATGTTGAACATCGCGGTGTATTGATTGCGCTCTGCGATCTTTCTATGATTCCATCGACTAAATTTCTCGCGAAGTGGTGGGAAAATTGACTGAAAGCGCTTGAAGTCAACGGTAAAATTCTCCTTGTAACATTGGAATATGACAGTAAAGCGATCATATCTCTCTCGCAGCAAGCGCACAAGATAATTCTTTCGTGTCTCGTTCTCTTCGCACTTTAGATTTTCATCTGCGCCTACTTGCGCTGACACTTGCCAAGCAACTCCTCGCGCAAAGCCGCACGTCAAAGGATGAAGGAACGACCCACACATTGAGAAACGTCTTGCCTTAAATGCGGTGAGATTATAAAAGTACTAGCTGTATATAAAGTGAAGAAAATAGACTTAATTTTACCGAGCTAAGGATTGCGTTCTTCACAGCTGTAGAAAGTTTTGTAATTTGCGCCAAAATTTGAAACTTGCGGATTTACGTCACTGATCTTGTGATAACTCGATAAGCCACTTAAATGTATATACATTTTTGTGCGCATTTGTCGCTGAATAATATGATGAAAAGTTCTTATACTTTCGGCGAATATGTGCATATAACGCAGAAGTGCTTTTAATTGTATTACAGAAACAAATACTATATGCACACTTATAATATACGTGTAATATCGCCTGTCATTGGTGTAATTATGGTATTTCGAGCGCGCTAATTTATTGTTAAGAATACAAAAAATTTGCTAAGAAAGATAAAAACCAAATAAAAACTTGCTTCTGACTTGTCCGCCATGTTGTTAAACAAATCACCATGGAAATAACAATATTATCCTGTTTAGCCGCTGCATCCATGCCGATAGTGGCGCTGGCGCGATTTCATGATGGCGACGGATATTATTTATATCACGCGAAGAACGCGTTCGGCTTGCAGCAGTATAAATCTAAAGTATTCCTACTGCATTATCAGGGGATCAAAGTTTCTTAGGAATATATGGAAAGCGTACATTTATGAAAAGAATACCATTTAATGTGTCAATTATACGTCCTATAGTGCTAACCATGTTATTCTAAACTCGTAAAACAATGAAACGAGTAATGAATGTCAACTTTCCGAGTTTAACTTATAAACATTAGTATCAGGAGTGGTTGATTATCGCAATTCTGCGTTATCTTCATCATGAATTTTGCTGCTGCAGAGCCAAAGAAGCCATTTTGCGTGTTATTATCCGTGATATATATTAAATGATCGTTGCCATGACAACTAAATGTAGCTTAACTTCAAGCCCTTGTCTAAACAAATGTTATAATACTTGAACAGTAACAATTGAAGGCTTCGTTGATTTTTTATAAATTTTAATATATATTCTTGAATTTACAATCTTGGACCCAGGCATTAAGTGGCAGTCCCGCTAAGAGCGGTCCGATGACTTTGACTTCGGAAAATAGATTTCCTTTATTTTTTGTGTGTTGAAAGGCATTGGTACACAAGTGTCCAAAATAAATTTATTTTTTGAAAATTCTTTTTTATGGCTTCGCTAGACGCCGAAACTCATTTTACCCGTGCAGAGATAATTTCAAGCAAAATCGAAGGTTGAATTTCGGTAAATTGTAGAGCCGCGCTGTGTCAAAACGCCTGACTATTTCCAAATTTCAACAACATCAACAAGTTATGATACAATTCAGATTCCCTGTTCCAAAAAATAAGAGCATTTGAATAAATTGTGAATAAACGACAGCAACTTGACGGCACACCGGTTTTTGCTTCTTGTTCGGTCTACAAAATTACACTAAAATCGAAGCCTGAGATCTCCAAATGGGGACCTAAAATTACGCTGAAATGTGCTTGGCTGTAATGATTTATACTTATTTTCAGAAGATCTGAAGAAAAACCTGCGGGTATCAATCTGTATTTGGCGCGAGTTAAGATTTTCTGGAGCCCATAATCAATGATTTTTGCATAATTTATAGCTAATTAACATATTTCTTGAGAGGCGCTAAAAGTAAACAATTTCTTTCTGACTAACATAACTCAGATGAAAGAGACTACCACAGCTAGTAATACCCTTTTTGTAAATATAGTCGTAATGTTCTTTTCCTGACACGCTGAGAGAGCTTTGTTTTTGAATGTTATGCCACATTTATTCAGTCTGACCAGATTCATAAATGTCACGAACTTGTATATTTCAAAAATATACCAGAAATCAGAATTCAGAAAGACCGATTATTCTTTCATTGATTCAGTTGATTAATTTAGTTGATTGATTTAAAAAACTATAAGTATAATAGAACATTCCACGTGTTTCCATTGCCCCTATATAGGCCTAGAATTGTTATCAATATGTTCTATTTTTCTGTGGCGACGGCATATTAACAAAATACGACACAAAAATGTACATTCGAATTTATGACCGACATATCAGAATGTTATTTATGAAGTTTGAATTGAATTTACTTAACGCGAAATAAATACTAAAATAGGAATTTTCTATGCTGGGTTTATAGTCCTGTTCGCAGGCTAGGTTTATAGTAAAAGAAAAAGCATAATTTTAATTGTATGTAATTTCGATGAATACTAAAAAATTATACGCATTGTTTATATAAATTAGCTAACATTTTTAACAAAAATATCAATTTTATAAATAATCGAATTTCAATATTTTTCTTTGAAAAAAAGTATATTCGTGAGCTCCATAGCTGAGAATAAATTTCAAAAGTTTGTGAATTAAAATTCACCAGACACAAGTTTGATATTTTTGTTAAATAACTGATCAGAATGCTTATAGTTTATTTTGTTACATGGCTAAAACAAACGTCGCTACTATCGTAATAAATGTGTAAATGTTAGCTAATTTATATAAACAATGCGTATAATTTTTTTTATATAGTATTCATCGAAATTACATACAATTAAAGTTATGCTTTTTCTTTTACTAACCCAGCATAGAAAATTCCTATTTTAGTATTTATTTCGCGTTAAGTAAATTCAATTCAAACTTCATAAATAACATTCTGATATGTCGGTCATAAATTCGAATGTACATTTTTGTGTCGTATTTTGTTAATATGCCGTCGCAACATATTGATAAAAATTCCAGGCCTATAAAGGGACAATGGAAACACATGGAATGTTCTATTATACTTATAGTTTTTTAAATCAATCAACTGAATCAAGGAAAGAATAATCGGTCTTTCTGAATTCTGATTTCTGGTACTGATATTTTTGAAATATACAAGTTCGCGACATTTATGAATCTGGTCAGACTGAATAAAGGTGGCATAACATTCAAAAACAAAGCTCTCTCAGCGTGTCAGGAAGAGAACATTACGACTATATTTACAAAAAGGGTATTACTAGCTGTGGTAGTCTCTTTCATCTGAGATATGTTAGTCAGAAAGAAATTGTTTAATTTTAGCGCCTCTCAAGAAATATGCTAATTAATAGCTATAAATTATGCAAAAATCATTGATTATGGGCTCCAGAAAATCTTAACTCGCGCCAAATACAGATTGATACCCGCAGGTTTTTCTTCAGATCTTCTGAAAATAAGTATAAATCATTACAGTCAAGCACATTTCAGCGTAATTTTAGGTCCCCATTTGGAGATCTCAGGCTTCGATTTTAGTGTAATTTTGTAGACCGAACAAGAAGCAAAAACCGGTGTGCCGTCAAGTTGCTGTCGTTTATTCACAATTTATTCAAATGCTCTTATTTTTTGGAACAGGGAACCTGAATTGTATCTTAACTTGCTGATCTAGTTGAAATTTGGAAATAGTCAGGCGTTTTGGCACAGCGCGGCTCTACAATTTACCGAAATTCAAACTTCGATTTTGCTTGTAATTAGCTCTGCACGGGTAAAATGAGTTTCGGCGTCTAGCGAAGCCATAAAAAAGAATATTCAAAAAAAAAAAATTATTTTGGACACTTGTATACCAATGCCTTTCAACACACAAAAAATAAAGGAAATCTATTTTCCGAAGTCAAAGTCATCGGACCGCTCTTAGCGGGACTGCCACTTAATGTAACTGAGCCGCTGAGGACAAGGTTCCTCACGCTAAGGACAAGGTTCCTCACGCTGAGGACAAGGTTACTCACGCTGTAGACAAGGTTCCTCACGCTAAGGATACGGTTCCTCACGCTGTAGACAAGGTTCCTCACGCTGAGGACACGGTTCCTCACGCTGAGGACAGGGTTTCTCACGCTGAGGACAAAGTTTCTCACGCTGTAGACAAGGTTCCTCACGCTGAGGACACGGTTCCTCACGCTGAGGACAGGGTTCCTCACGCTGAGGACAAGGTTCCTCAAGCTGAGGACAAGGTTTTATCACGCTGAGGACAAGGTTCCTCACGCTGAGAACAAGGTTCCTCACGATGAGGACAAGGCTCCACACGCTGAGGACAAGGTTCCTCACGCTGAGGACAAGGTTTCTCACCCTGAGGACAAGGCTCCACACGCTGAGGACAAGGCTCCTCACGATGAGGACAAGGCTCCACACGCTGAGGACAAGGTTCCTCACGCTGAGGACAAGGTTCCTAACGATGAGGACAAGGTTCCTCACGATGAGGACAAGACTCCACACGCTGAGGACAAGGTTCGTCATGCTGAGGACAAGGTTCCTCACGCTGAAAACAAGGTTCCTCACGCTGAGGACAAGGTTCCTCACGCTGAAGACAAGGTTACTCACGCTGAGGACAAGGTTCCTCACGCTGACAACAATGTTCCTCACGCTGAGGACAAGGTTCCTCACCTGAGGACAAGATTCTTCACGCTGAGGACAAGGTTCCTCGCGCTCAGGACATGTTTCCTCACGCTGAGGACACGGTTCCTCACGCTGAGGACAAGGTTCCTCACGCCGGGACAAGGTTCCCCACGCCGAGGAGAAGGTTCCTCACGCTAAGGACAATGTTCCTCACGCTAGGACTAGGTTCCTCACGCTGAGCACAAGGATCCACACGCTGAGGACTAGGTTCCTCACCCTGAGGACAAGGTTCCTAACGCTGAGGACAAGGTTCCTCACGCTGAGGACACGGTTCCTCACGCTGAGGACAAGGTACCTCACGTCGACGAGAAGGTTGCTCACGCTGAGACAAAGGTTCCACACGCTGAGGAGAAGGTTCCACACGCTAAGGACAATGTTCCTCACGCTGACGACAAGGTTCCTCACGCTGAGGAAAAGGTTCCTCACGCTGAGGACAAGGTTCCTCACGATGAGAACAAGGTAACTCACGTCGAGGAGAAGGTTTCTCACGCTGAGGCCAAGGTTCCGCACGCTAAGGACAATGTTCCTCACGCTGAGGACAAGGTTCGTCACGCTGAGGACAAGGTTCCTCACGCTGAGGACAAGGTTCCTCACGGTAAGGACAAGGTTGCTCACGCTTAAGACAAGGTTCCTCACGCTGAGGACACGGACCCTCACGCTGAGGACAAGGTTCATCACGCTGAGGACAAGGTTCCTCCCGCTGAGGACAAGGTTCCCACGCTGAGCACAAGGTTCCTCACGCTAAGGACAAGGTTCCTCACGCTGAGGACAAGGTTCCTCACGCTGTAGGCAAGGTTCCTCACCATGAGAACACGGTTCCTCACGCTGAGGACAGGGTTCCTCACGCGGAGGACAAGGTTCCTCAAGCTGAGGACAAGATTTTATCACCCTGAGGATAAGGTTCCTTACGCTGAGGACAAGGTTCCTGACGGTGAGAACAAGGTTCCTCACGTTAAAGACAAGGTTCCTCACGCTGGGAACAAGGTTACTCACGCTGAGGACAAGGTTCCTCACGTTGAGGACAAGGTTCCTCACGCTGACGACAATGTTCCTCACGCTGAGGAAAAGGTTCCTCACGCTGAGGACAAGGTTCCTCACGATGAGGACAAGGTTCCTCACGGTAAGGACAAGGTTGCTCACGCTTAAGACAAGGTTCCTCACGCTGAAGACACGGATCCTCACGCTGAGGACAAGGTTCATCACGCTGAGGACAAGGTTCCTCCCGCTGAGGACAAGGTTCCCACGCTGAGCACAAGGTTCCTCACGCTAAGGACAAGGTTCCTCACGCTGAGGACAAGGTTCCTCACGCTGTAGGCAAGGTTCCTCACCATGAGAACACGGTTCCTCACGCTGAGGACAGGGTTCCTCACGCGGAGGACAAGGTTCCTCAAGCTGAGGACAAGATTTTATCACGCTGAGGATAAGGTTCCTTACGCTGAGGACAAGGTTCCTCACGGTGAGAACAAGGTTCCTCACGTTAAAGACAAGGTTCCTCACGCTGGGAACAAGGTTACTCACGCTGAGGACAAGGTTCCTCACGCTGAGGACAAGGTTCCTCACGCTGACGACAATGTTCCTCACGCTGAGGACAAGGTTCCTCACGCTGAGGACAAGGTTCGTCACGCTCAGGACATGTTTCCTCACGTTAAAGACACGGTTCCTCATGCTGAGGAAAAGGTTCCTCCCGCTGAGGACAAGCTTCCCACGCTGAGAACAAGGTTCCTCACGCTAAGGACAAGGTTCCTCACGCTGAGGACAAGGTTCCTCACGCTGTAGACAAGGTCCCTCACCATGAGGACACGGTTCCTCACGCTGAGGACAGGATTCCTCACGATGAGGACAAGGTTCCCCACGCTGAGGACAAGGTTCCTCACGCTAAGAACAAGGTTCCTCACGCTGAGGACAAGGTTACTCACGCTGAGGACAAGGTTCCTCACGCTGAGGACAAGGTTCCTCACGCTGAGAACAAGGTTCCTAACGCTAAGGACAAGGTTCGTCACGCTGAGGACAAGGTTCCTCACGCTGAGGACAAGGTTCGTTACGCTCAGGACATGTTTCCTCACGTTGAAGACACGGTTCCTCATGCAGAGGAAAAGGTTCCTCACGTTGGGACAAGGTGCTTCACGCCGAGGATAAGGTTCCTCACGCTGACGACAAGGTTCCTCACGCTGACGACAATGTTCCTCACGCTGAGGACAAGGTTCCTCACGCTGAGGACAAGGTTCCTCACGCTGAGGACAAGGTTCGTCACGCTCAGGACATGTTTCCTCACGTCGAAGACACGGTTCCTCATGCTGAGGAAAAGGTTCCTCACGCTGGGACAAGGTTCCTCACGCCGAGAATAAGGTTCCTCACGCTGAGGACAAGGATCCTCACGCTGAGGACAAGGTACCTCACGTCGAGGAGAAGGTTCCTCACGCTGAGGCCAAGGTTCCACACGCTGAGAACAAGGTTCCTCACGCTGAGGGCAAGGTTCCTCACGCTGAGGACAAGGTTACTCACGCTGCGGACAAGGTTCCTCACGATGAAGACAAGGGCCACACGCGGTGGACAAGGTTCCTCACGCTGACGACAAGGTTCCTCACGCTGAGGACAAGGTTCCTCACGCTGAGGACAAAGTTCCTCACGCTGAGGTCAAGGTTAGTCACGCTGAGGACAAGGTTCCTCACGCTGAGGACAAGGTACCTCACGCCGAGGACAAGGTTCCTCACGCTGAGGACAAGGTTCCTCACGCTGAGGACAATGTTCCGCACGCTGAGGACAATGTTCCTCACGCTGAGGACAAGGTTCCTCATGCTGAGGACAAGGTTACTCACGCTGAGGACAAGGTTCCTCACGCTGAGGAAATGTTTCCTCACCCTGAGAACAAGGTTCCTCACGCTGACGACAAAGTTCCTCACGCTGAGCACAAGGTTACTCACGCAGAGGACAAGGTTCCTCACCCTGGGGACAAGGTTCCTCACGCTGAAGACAAGGTTCCTCACCCTGAGGACAAGGTTCCTCACGCTGAGGACAAGGTTCCTCACGCTGAGGACAAGGTTCCTCACGCTGAGGACATCTTTCCTCACGCTGAGGACAAGGTTCGTCACGGAGAGGACTAGCTTTCTCACGCTGAGCACAATGTTCCTCACGCGGAGGACAAGGTTACCCCATCAGAGGACAAGTTTCCTCATGCTGAGGACAAGGTTCCTCACGCTGAGGACAAGGTTACTCACGCGGAGGACAAAGTTCCTCACGATGAGGACAAGGCTCCACACGCTGAGGACAAGGTTCCTCACGCTGAGGACAAGGTTCCTTACGCTGAGGACAAGGTTCCTCATGCTCAGGACATGTTTCCTCACGCTGAGGAAACGGTTCCTCACGCTGAGGAAAAGGTTCCTCACGCTGAAGAAAAGGTTCCTCACGCTGGGACAAGGTTCCTCACGCTGAGACCAAGGTACCTCACGTCGAGGAGAAGGTTTCTCACGTCGAGGAGAAGGTTCCTCACGCTGAGGCCAAGGTTCCACACGCTGAGGAGAAGGTTCCTCACGCTGAGGACAATGTTCCTCATGCTGAGGACAAGGTTCCTCACCCTGAAAACAAGGTTCCTCACACTGAGGACAAGGTTCCTCTCGCTGAGGACAAGGTTCCTCACGCTGAGGACAAGGGTCTTGACGATTAGGACAAGGATCCTCACGCTGAAGACAATGTTCATCACGCTGAGGACAAGGTTCCTAACGCTGAGGACAAGGTTCCTCACGCCGAGGACAAGGTTCCTCAAGCTGAGGAGAGGGTTCCTCACGCTGAGTACAAGGTTCCTCACGCTGAGTACAAGGTTCCGCACGCTGAGGACAAGGTTCCTCACGCTGAGGACAAGGTTCCTCACGCCGAGGACAAGGTTACTCACGCTGCGGACAAGGTTCCTCACGATGAGGACAAGCGCCACACGCGGTGGACAAGGTTCCTCACGCTGACGACAGGGTTCCTCACGCTGAGAACAAGGTTCCTCACGCTGACGACAAAGTTCCTCACGCTGAGGACAAGGTTACTCACGCTGAGGACAAGGTTCCTCACGCTGAGGACAAGGTAACTCACGCTGAGGACAAGGTTCCTCACGATGAGAACAAGCATCCTCACGCCGAGGACAAGGTTGCTCACGGTGAGGACAAGGTTCCTCACACTGAGGACAAGGTTCCTCACGCTAAAGACAAGGTTCCTCACGCTGACGACAAGGATCCTCACAATGAGGACAAGGTTCCTCACGCTGAGGACAAGGTTGCACACGGTGAGGACAAGGTTCCTCACCCTGAGGACAAGGTTCCTCACGCTGAAGACAAGGTCCCTCACGCTAACGACAAGGATCGTCACACTGAGGACAAGTTTCCTCACGCTGAGGACAAGGTTCCTCACTCTGAGGACAAGGTACCTCACACTGAGGAAAAGGTGCCCCACACTGAGGACAAGGTTCCCCACGCTTAGGACAAGGTTGCTCAAGCTGAGGACAAAGTACCTCACACTGAGGACAACGTACCTCACACTGAGGACAAGGTTCCTCTCGCTGAGGACAAGGTTCCTCACGCTGAGGACAAGGGTCTTGACGATTAGGACAAGGATCCTCACGCTGAGGACAATGTTCATCACGCTGAGGACAAGGTTCCTAACGCTGAGGACAAGGTTCCTCACGCCGAGGACAAGGTTCCTCAAGCTGAGGAGAGGGTTCCTCACGCTGAGTACAAGGTTCCTCACGCTGAGTACAAGGTTTCGCACGCTGAGGACAAGGTTCCCCACGCTGAGGACAAGGTTCCTCACGCCGAGGACAAGGTTGCTCACGCTGAGAACAAGGTTCCTACGCTGAGGACAATGTCCTCACGCTGAGGACAAAGGTTTCTCACGCTGAGAATA